TGGACATATTTCTGTTAAACGGAACCAAGCTCCAAATTGAGTTCCTTTTGAGGATTTTAGAATCCTGGATAGCGCGTCTTGTCAAACAGAACTAAGCGCCATGGAAAAGCATTGCGAGTATAGGAGGTACTGAGCATCGTGTTCCGCAACACCCGCCAATAGAAATACGTTCAAATGAACGTGGCCCTTCAAAATTGTGGGGATACCTCAGTTTCAAAACGTAAAATTGAAATCAACCGATGCTAGCCCATTTTTTAGGTGAAAAATTGTGATTTTTATGTCAAATTCGAAACTATAGGTGAACTGTACCAACGGAAGAAGTTAGAATTTCGGCAAAAGATAAAACATGGGTCCATTCATATTACAAGAGGCAACTTGATATAGCCATCAAGGATTTCGAATAAAAGTGTTTTTCGCTCCACCCTTAGGTACCCACAGGCTTCCTTTAAAGCTCATAAGCTTTAAAGGATTCTTAGAACTTTTGAAGTTAATGCATAGTATAAAGAAGCAGAATAGGTAACAGACGTCTCCCTTAAATTTATCAATATTTTTCTCATCGCATAAGTGCTTAAAAAGTCTCATGAAAAAACGGAGATTCAATAAAAACTTAATATGGAGAAGAAACATCATGAGAATGTTTCATTTTAAGATAACCTATATCCTGGAGGTAGCGGTGGAATTAATTTAAGCAACAATAGAAAAATTTGGAGATGCAATTTTCCATATTTTGCGTTTTGCAGCTCTAAAAGATTATTTAGGCCGGCTTAGAGCTGTAATATAATAAAAGGAGAGATTAATATAATTGCATTAATTTTGAAGTAAGAATATGGTTCTGTCCTGTCGATTGGAATATTCAAGTTCCCCATGTTTGGTACAAATTAATTCATTTTACCATCGGATAATTTTCATAAATTCTCCTAAAATTTTCTGAATTTCGTCTCCCTCTTCAAGCCATTTGGCTGAAAGTGCACTGTATTATTTGTTTTATGGGATCTGCTGCCTTACTCTCCAGTTTTAGTTCTGCTTAGGTGATATGTTGGTGTTCTCATAGAGTCTATTTTAACGAGTCACTTTTATTGGCTAAACTCCAGGAAGATAGCAGCGGAAAAAATGAAATTTTGTTGCCACCAATGTGCTATATGTGCATGTGTGCTATATGTACCAATGTGCACAATGTGCTATAGCGCTTTAGTTTAGCGACCACTAATTATCAGCTGTTTGGGAGTTAGAAATGCTCTGCAGTTGCCCAATTGATAGATTCGATAGATTCAATTTTATTCAACAGCTGATTTTGAGCATATACTGCCTTGGCGTTTCAAGTTTGTAGCAGTGAAAATTGCCATCCATTAAAGGTTCTTTATGTAAAAATCGCGTTAAGAGAGTGTACCAACTACCAGTTCGGAAACAACGCTTTATCCAAGCATCTTAAATGATCAACAGTCGCCTGAACGATATGGTCGAAAAATCCGAAAGTCTCCCTTTATGTATTAAGAGTCTCTTATACGGCACCGTGGCTGTCTTTCTTATGTATTTCCAAAATATTTATTAACTTGCAGTTACACGGCAATTTTAAAATGGAATAGGCAGTACAGAATCCTCTAACCAAGGCTTGTGTGCTATAGTTTGATAGCTGGTATATATTTGACAGATGTGTGACTGATCTATGATCTGACGATCTTTATCCGATTTTTTTCCTGTAAATGTGGTCAGGTATTTTTTATTTTGTATAGTTCGCATGCAAAGCACAATTTTTTAGGAATGTATATTTTGCATACTAGCAATGTTTGGTTTTACCTCTCATTAGAGGTATAGATTCAATATTTCCTGCCCCTCTTTTCAGTCTCTATAAAACGCACATCAGTTTCATGCGCAGTTTGATGAATAAAAAATATTCATCATTGAGTAAAACCGTAATGCTGAGTACCTGGTTAACAGGAATCATAGCCACACTGTAAATCAGGAAAGATACTAGACTAGTAAATAGAACTATTTTCTTGATTTTTATTTTAACTTTTTCTAAAAGACATGAAAATTTAATATATGTTGCAAAAAGTATATCATTTTTATCACATTCCAAATCATAGTTATGAATCAGTCCTAAAGTTAAAAGCCTTAATTACATGTAATTGTTTCCGTCCATGATGCAGTAAGAATTAATTATCCAATTCTGTGCAATTTTGTGCTCTTTTCTCATGCACAATTTCAAATTTATGTACATATGTTTAAAAATGTTTTTGTTTCAAAATATTTTGCCTTTACTTTTAGCACAACTTGATATTTTTTCTCAACTCTCTTTTCATTCGTTTGTTTTTGAGCATGATCAAATTAGCTTTTCTTTTTCTTACAAAAAATGAAAAATATGAAGCAGGACTTCAAAACTCATTGATAGTACACCGAAAATAATATTTTACCTCCGTATTACTCTTTCAACTTTAATTAAAATTATTACAAGTTTCATGAAAATGAGTGTAATGTGCATTTTAATTATACCAGACCAAGCAAAAAACGAATAGGAACCCAACTCATATCGAAAAAATGTAGCTCTTGGTTGTTTTCAAGATTTAATACTATGTATTTACAGTCTGCAACGATTGAACTCTGCATATCCATGAATACTCGAATTTATCAAAAATCTTAGGAATACCACTTATTTTTCTGGTTTACCTCCTTTGAAACGAATCTCAGAAATGAAATCTAATGTATCCTCATATGAGTGTAGTTAAACCGTTTTATTCTGAATCAGCACAAAAATGTACAAAAGTATTGTCAAGAATGAAGAAAAAAAAAAAAGAGAAAAAAAAACAGCCTTTATCGCAATAAGTATTTAGAGTAATTGAGTTTTGATTAATTTAATGTGTAAATTCGAAAATGAATAAAAATTATCACTTCTTTTCAAACTCTAAATGGAGGTTTCATAAATGGTTCTTAGAAGGTAATTGCTTACAAACCACCTTAGGTTCTCATAATCCATGACAGTTATCCATCCAATTACTGGAGCAGCAATGTCTAAGTGAATAAGGAACAAAATGGTTCAATTTATCAAAAAGTCTTCTACCAAGTAGAGGTTTTGTAATTAAAATTGTATTTACTAATTGAGAATGATCAAATGTGATCGAAAGTATTATTGTTTTTGTATGTAAATTGACTGACAAGATTTCTTTTTATAAAACACTGGACTCGTTCAGAGAAAGCATTTAATTCCTTATTGAAATTCTCCCTGTTTAGGTCAACAAAAGTTCATGAAATTTAATGAAAGGAATTTTTTCTATTATTTTTATTATCATCCAGAATAGAATACTTCATTGTAGGTTTTGGAGGATGTTTCAAAGAATAATTACATATGAATGCCATTTTTTTAAAGAATTAGCAAAGTGGGTTCCCTTAGTCAAATTTAAGAACAAATACAACCATAGTTGCCCTTGTAACTAACAGGCTTGCTGAATCAATGTACAAAGGCTGTTCAAAAAGTACGGGGACTGGTTCCATAACTTAAAAATTAAGATAGCCTAGAGGCTTGATCTTGGTTTCATTTGAAAGATCAACTCAATAGCTATTGATTGAGACCCAAAACAAAACTTGCGGTCGAATATTTCAAAAGTTACGATACTGTTTGTAAAAAAAATATACGGACCCCCTACCGTTTTCGGTGACTATTTTCTCTTGCCGAGAACATACTCTTAATTAATGATCAGTGCACGGTTCTTTGCAACTAATCACGGCAAAACTTAATTGATTTGGCAACACTGTCAAGTCGTTGTCGTCCGACTACGGGTATAAAGGTTCAAAGTCCATAAGGAAAGAATGAACCGTCGGTCAGCCATCCCAAGAAAAAGTCTTTGTCTAATTTTTTATTAAGTCTTGAATGTATATTGTTTGAAATAATATGCATTGAAACACCAGAAAACTATATTATTCAATTTAATTTCAGACCTGAAGCGTCTAACTCAAGATTATGTCAGTTTGGTGACGCTATGCGTTTTAGTTTGTGTCCACTCAAGAGATAGCACTTGTGTGCGGATTAAGGCATGACTGAGTGTGGAAGTGGAGAACAAACAGTCGTGTGCCAAATAAGTCCACATATTTCTTCCAATTTCAGCATGATTTCAGTTTTTTCCATGGTTTTTGGAGTGTCTCACTTATTCAATGTCAATTCGGTGACGCAGTTTTCCATCAAAACTTTTGGTGGAATATGCAAGGAGTATGTGAGCAAATATTTTTTCTTACATCTATAGGTAGCCTCTCGACCTAACCTCAATGATTCGTTCGATTTTGTCACTGCAAAATTAGCAGGAAAAATTAATATCAGCAAAATGTCAGGTTTGGTGACGTCACCAAACCTGACATGTCCAAACCAAACTGACACGTCAGGCTTGGTAAAGAAGAATAATCGTAGAGATATTGCGATGCTCGTAATTAAATGCTATAGTATGGAGCTCTAAGATAACAGAAAAGTAGTCTTTAGCTTGATATGGCCAAATCACTTTTCAACTTTTTCTCAGAACCATTTTCTCCCATTAGCTGAAATCCACCCAGATACTGTCTCAAGTTTTAATGTGTACAATCCGCATCCTTCAATCAGTCTTTCTGTATATTTTTTTTTAAACACCTCAACTGTTTGTAAATATTATTCTTGGAGCTTTTATATCATTATTTTTTCTCCTAGAGCTTTGTAAATGAAGGTTTAGTACTTTTTTACCCACAGTTATGTGTATTAGTTTACCACTCCTCTCTTGAAGATAAACTCCAGCAAGGAAGATTGAACTATTTTTTTTTCATTAACACTGGGCACAGGGGCGGATTGGAACTGAAAGAGTAACCAGGATCTCCGGTTCATTGGAGCTTAGACCGGCTTATTTTGTTTTTCAACATTTAATAATGATAACCCTGTGTAAAATGACCTGGGGTGTTCCAATCTGCCTCTCTGTCCCTCACTGGGTATAAGCCAACAAGAAGAAAATCAAGTAGGGAGACGTAGTGGAATGTGAATAACAATGCAAGGAAAACAGAAGTAATAAATTTATTCAAAAATCCGTACCCTTAAAATTAAGTGAAATATTAGCACAAAATTAATATGAGAAAATATACATTTAATATTTGTGCCGGCAATGTTGTCTCCTATGACTAAGCTGTGCACCAGTAAAGGGTTTGCTTTCCTTACAAGGCCAAGGTGTCCAAATCCCGTAAAAACAACCACAGTATTTCAAATTCCTCTGGGATACGATCTTACTTACCAAAAAGGGAAAAAAAGCAAGTGGGGGCTTAAAGAAATTTCCACTAGATTGTGCCTGACACCCATGCAAGACATGATACTTGAAGGGGTGAGTGCCAGATAGGCTCGATTGCATTGCAATGTATTGAAGTCTCGCCTGGCAACGTACTTCCTTCCTCATGTGTGCACGTTGTAACACATAAAACATGCCAGGTTGACAGTTGACGTCGAAGAAAATTCTCAATGAATTTCCAAAGAAAGAAAATTTGTGCCCGTGCCTGAGTAAATAAATGAACAAGGAAACTTTGCAACATAGCATTGAAATGAAGTCCCGTGGCTCCTCACCTATAAAATTGGCTCTGAAGTTAAATCCTTGAGAGACGAGCGCTTGACTCGCTGGTATGTTCACTGGGGCTGAACTCAGAACCATCGGCGGGAGGTTCGACTTCTGTCTCCTCTGTGCGGACGTTTGACTCAGTCTCTGTCTCAGCTTCCTCGTCTTCCTCGATGACACTGGACTGGATCCACTGTCGGATTCGGTCCTTCTTCGCTGAGCGGTCCACCACAACCTCGATCCCCCGCTGCGCCAGACTCGACAGCAGCTTGTTCTTTTCCTCAACACTGCTGTGGTAGCTGTACATCGAGGGACACAGCATATCCATCTCACCACTCCCGCCTCGCTCTGCCAAGAACAAAGGCATTAAGGACACGAGTATTATATATCCGTATAAGCTTGTAGGGTACCGGGAGAGGTGTCGAAAATTCGCGTTAGATAGGCGCAGTGGTGCAACTATTCGTGCTCGGTAAATATCTGTGTTGCATCTGCTAAATTGTAAGCGCGATGGAGCGAGACCTGAACTTGGAATGCTTCGCTCTGTGCTGCCAATGAAGTGTCGCTCGGATTCGGGTGAAAAGTTTAAATGCGAGGCCGATCACGTCTTCCCGATCTTCGGCTAAAATGCTCATGTAGTCCTCGAAGCACCGCAGTACAAAGAAGACCAATGGAGAACGGAAACAAAACAAGCACAGTGTAAAAACAACTACCTAAGGCAAGGACGCGTTTTGATGACGGCGTAGAGATACAACTATTCGTGCTCGATGGATATATGTCCGTGTCGTATCTGCAAAATTGAAGGCGCGATGGATGAATGCGCAAATTGACCTGAACTATCTTTGTGGGGGAGTCACATGGGAGTTATAGTGCGGGTAAATACGAGCTTTAAATATAAATAAAATACATGTTTAAAAAAAGAGTCAGACGACCCATCGAATTGAAAAAGAAAGAAAAAATCGAGTGGCAACACAGCCGAAGATAGATACGTAATCGGGCCTCGCTTTTAAATATACAGGGTCGGTCTTTGGGTCTGAGGTACATACCTTGTGCGAGACACCCAAATAGCGTCCCCTTACCACCAGGGGGGCTGTGCAGAAGTTAGGCGGGGGCTCCGGCCACCCCCGAAAATTTGTTGAAGTTTTAACCCCATTTGGACGTATTTTGAGGCTTCTATGACGGAAATGTTTGAAAATGCTGACCAAATGAGAGCGATGTTTTCATTGAAAACTCTGCATTAAAAGAGATACCTATGGATCCTTGACGAAGGTTATTTTCCACTTCAGAATTTCGGGGAGGAGAGTAGATGATTCTATCTTCAATTCTGGGGGGCAGGCCCCTCTTTCTTCGCCCATACTCCCCGATGGTGGGTTAGGAAAGAAAAGCACTTCCATGCAAGAACGAAGTTTAGTCGGCCAAGCCGGACATCAAGGATTTAGAGCTGAGGTTTGAGGGAGCATCATAAACGGAGCCGCATCGGCGCGCAAGGCGGAGGCCCGGCGCGGACTTTCATGCCGCGTCGAACAGTGCGCCGGGGGAGCGCATCTGCCGTTGAGGCGGCTTAACCTGGTGAGGCCGACACCCGGCTGATTTTCTGATGCTGCATCAGTTTTGATGCTGAGTCCAGCATCAAAATTGAGGCGGCTTCAATTAACAGACACGTCGGACGCCAGCGCCCCGGGCCCGGCTGCCGGTCGGCTAATTGCACCGGGCTGTGTTTTCAACCCTTCCTCGGCGAGGCGTGGGCCGCCGCCAAGACAAAGGGATGTTCCGCGAACTCATCGCCAAGTCCAAGGGTCGTACGGTCTTCTGGGACAGCCCCGCCCCGTCGGTAATTAAACTGGGTGGCGGGTCCGAAAATTGAGGCCGTATCGGGCCGCAAGCCGAGGGTCCGGCCTCAGAAGCTGAGGCCCATGTTGGTCCCTGAGCCAGCATCAAACCTCAGCATCAGCGCTTAATGCTGGCTCGGTCGGCTCTCCAGCATCGGGCTTCAATGCTCGAAGCCGGCGCCGGCAGGTTGCGCGCATAAGGCGCGGCGCCGCATGCCCGAACGGCCGCTACCTGGGCATACGGCATTGATGCTGAAGCTACGAGTCGATGCTGTACAGCATAACCTCATGAGGCGCCTCAAATGCCTGCCGGACATCCATCGAGCCCCTGCTAAAAACGACGGACACCCTGCGGACACTGAGCATTCGTCTTTAGAATTCCCACGCACTCACTCCTCCGTGTTCCTGCACCCACTCTTGCGTGTCCCCGCGCCCACCCAAGTAGCCATTTCCAACCAAAAAGTTGCAACAAACATTAAACTAAGGAAGCAGCCTGATCGTTGATATCTGGTGTTTGTTGGGTAGACGCAGATGACATAGGTTATAAGGCAGAGTGATCGGTCGGCTGTGTCTTATCGCTGCTTGATCGTGCCGTTGACAGGTGGAATGTACGACATAATGTCGGAAACTTAAGAGGTGCCTTTAGCTTGTTCTGATTTCCACCTGACATAGGCACGATAAAGCAGCGATAAGACGTAGCCGACCAATCACGCTCCGCCTTTTAACCTATGTCATATGTCTACCTGACAAACACAAAATGTCAACAATCTGGCTGTTGGACTCCTCCCTTTGGACAACTTCCTTAAGACACCCTAACGACTCTTTCCTTTAGACAACTAAGGGATTCTTATTAGTCACTGCGGAATTTTCCGCGCCCCTAGTGCAGAGCTAAATTCACAGTATATAAACGAAGTATAACCGTTATATAAAGAGCGTGTTTATATAAAGAATGCATAATCAAAGTATGACGGTTACCTATATAAAATATATATAAAGAGCGTATTTATATAAAAGATGTATAACTGAAGTATAATGGTTATATAAAACATTTTTACCAATAACTTTTACATTAACTAATTATAAAGGTTATTCGCGCAATTTATAAAATTATTTGATTAATAACGGTTATACGACGGCAATTTCCTTTGAACATCCCGTTACTTAACCGCTATATAACCGTTTTATGAGTGATATACTTTCGTTAAAAATTTTTTATGTAAATCTGCTACTAGGGGCCGCGGTTGTTATTCTCGAACGGTCCCAAGGCCAAGTCTCGACATCGTAACTGTTGATGGTATTTTGTGCAACTGTTGAAGGAAGGAGGAGCTGCAAAAATGTTTCGTTTTTAGGTAAAAATTTTATGGTCAGAAATCCGGAACCTCGAACAGTTCTTTACCTTCGTGTTCTGATTTGACAAAACGCTGGTTACACGTGAGGCGGGAGTTTATTATGGGTGTTTTATTTCTGAGCGGTTACCTATATATTTGTCTAAATTTCAGTAAATTTTATATTTTTTGGTGAGTAGCATATCACTACTGCAGGGAAGTAAAATTTTATCGAATATATTTTCCTTTTATCCGTTTATCGTGCTATGTTATTGTTTTGTGTTATACCTGGTCGAAATAACACGAAATATTCACTTGCCGTTTGTTAAAGCTAATTAAGCTTCAACCAGATATGTCTCCGTGGTAACAGAGTTCTAAATGCATACGCATTGTAAAACTCTAAACCTGTGTGAATAAAGTCATACCCACAGTACCTAGTATTATTATGAATATAATCATTATTATGAAGTTGATTAGTAATTCAATAGCTCTGATTGTTGCTAAATGTAAGCAACAAAATGGTGACCTCGACGTGATGTTCTGAAAGGGGTTAACCTAAAAAAAAGTTCTTGTGAAAATTCGAGATTTCGGAGTGATGATTTTACTGTTCAATAATTTTCTATGAACATGGTTATGCAAGTGGTCTAGTACCTCCATGCCGTTCATAAGATTTAATAACGATTAATGTGAATTGCGCAAGTGCTCTAGTACCTCCGTAGTTCATATAAATCCAGACTTAACCTTGCAACTCATAAATCAATAGAAAAATCAGTACGAGTTGCATGTGATAAGCAAATTTAAAGTTATGCAACTGGTTTAATACCTCCATAACAATTTTCAATATTCATAGTAATTTCATGAAATAAAAGACAAAGCGTGCAAGTGCTCCTGTAACTATACACACCTTCCAAACCGAGTTCATGTAGTGGTCTTGCACCTCCATGTGAGCGATATGAAAGGGAAAAACTTAGAAAAAAAGGTGAGGAGGAGATAAATTGGATATGAGAAAAAGGGGCGAACAGAAAAGGAGGGGGGGGGGGGGTATAATGAAACCAAGGGACCAGCTTATTTTAAGGGAAAGCAAACCAAAACTAAAGGAAAATAGATGGGTGGGGAAAAGGACTAAAATGAATGATCGGCCGAAAGAGAGAAAGAAAACAACGTCCTAATGCAAATTGAAGATTTGCATTAAAGCATGCCGCTAAATTGACGGAGCTTGAAACTGCGAAGAGAGAATGATTCAATTCCACAATTTAGGGGTCAGGTTGAGGCAAATGATGAGAATTTGGAATAATTAATGAAATGCATAATGCATTTCAATAAGCACAGAAGATGCGTATTAAAGCATGCCAACTGGTTGCATGAAATGCTCACTATTTGACTAGAGAACGAAACATGCAATGAGTGGAGATTTCCTTTTGGGATAGCCCAAAAGCAAGATAAGCCTAAGGTACGCCTGTGGTGAAGTACCAAGAGTCCCTTTATACCCAGAGTTGCGACAACTCACATTTGACAAGCGCAGTAAAAGCTCGGATTTTAATTTGGCGTAGGTATGGTGTCCCACATAGCACAGAATCTTATGTCAATACTGATACATATTGTTGGATGTTGACATGATATCACCAACACTAATGCAGTACCTATGATATTAAGATTGTCGGTTAAAAGGTGCACCTTTTTTCGTTTGGAGGCTTTCCAGTGTTGTCGAGTTTAGACTTTGTCCGGAGGTGGCTACCGCCACCCATGATACCGCGTCAGCATGAATATAACACTAATACCTTCAATATATCAAACAACAGTATTGAGTCAATGCTGACGAGGTAAAAAAAAAATAACACGAAAAGAAATTAACACGAAAAAATGAAAAAAAAATATAGGAAGAAAAAGAAGCCTAAGAAAACACGGTGTTAATCAAAGATATGATGAAAGTCGAGCCGCGCACTGATGCTATGCATGCTGTAACAGCCTTGACAGGCGTGATTTTAACCCGAAATACCATCAGTTCCCTGTGGCTCAATGGCAGAGTACTGGGCTAGGAATTCCGCGGTTCGGGTTCAAATCCACCCGAGGGCGTCCGGGTATTTTACGCTACTAAACGTCGCAGGACAACAAGTAAGTGGTTTATAATATTCAATACTTGTATACTTGTGTAATTCATGTTTCAAATGTAATACATGTGTAGTACTATGAAAATGAC